CCAAGGAGGTGATCCTCCCCCTCTACGCGACACTGGTCAGGCCGCAGCTGGAGTACTGCGTCCAGTTCTGGGAGCCGCACTTCAGGAGGGATGTGGACAGCATGGAGAGGGTCCAAAAGAGGGCGGCCCACATGGTCAGGGGCAGCAGGGCAGGCCCTATGAGGAGAGGCTGAGGGACCTGAACCTGTTCAGCCTCCACAAGAGAAGGCTGAGGGGGGATCTGGTGGCAGTCTACAAACTAGTCAAGGGGGACCAGCAGGCATTGGGAGAGTCCCTGTTCTCCCCAGCAGTACCGGGAGTTACAAGAAACAATGGACACAAGCTAGCAGAGGGTAGTTTCGGGCTAGACATTAGGAGGTGCTACTTCACTGTCAGGGCAGCTAGGACCTGGAGCCAACTTCCAAGGGAAGTGGTGCTGGCTCCTACCCTGGGGGTCTTCAAAAGGAGCCTAGATAACTGCCTGGCTGGGGTCATATGAGCCCAGTATTCTCTCCTGCCCAGGGCAGGGGGGCAGACTTGAAGATATACTTAGGTTCCCTCTGACCCTACAGCTATGAATCTATGAATAAGCTGGGCTGCAGTTTGCTGCAGGAAGGAAGTAGGTAACATCAGGCTGAGAAGCTGTACTCAGCCCAGACCCAGGAGAGTATGAAAGGGGACTCCGCAGGTGACCAGGGAGCCTGTGACCAGGGAGCCAGTGGAAAGGGACTGCCAACAGGAGCAGTTCACAGGCCAGTTCGTGGGCAGGAGTACAACCCCTCTGTAAAGGTGTGCCAGCATTTGCACTGGCACTTTGGTGTTCGAAGCAGCATGTCTTGATCGAAGCGCTGGCTACATTAGGCTTGCTGAACCACTTCAGAAAAGCTTCAGAGATCCGGCCATAGGGGATATTGGGGAAAACAATGAAATATCTATAGCTTTGTTGTTTGTTGTATGATTTGAATCATAGAATCATAGAATCATAGAAGTCAGGTCGGAAGGGACCTTGTAGATCTTGAAGTCTGAACCCCTGCCTGGGCAGGAAGAAAACTGGGCTCAAATGACCCCCAGCCAGGTAGGCATCGAGCCGCTTCTTAAAGACCCCCAGGTAGGAGCCAGCACCACCTCCCTTGGCAGTTGGTTCCAGATCCTAGCCGCACTAACTGGGAAGTAGTTCCTATGGATGTCTAATCTGAACCTACTCTCCAACAACTTGTGGCCGTTATTCCTTGTTATCCTGGGGGGTGCTAGGGGAAACAAGGTCTCCCCCAAACCCTTCTGGTTCCCCCTAGTGAGTTTATAGATGGTCACCAGGTCCCCCCTCAGCCTTCTTTTGTGAAGGCTGAACAGGTTCAAGTCCCGTCACCTCTCGTTGTAGGGTCTGCTCTGCTGCCCTCGGATCATGCAGGCGGCCCTCCTCTGGACCCTCTCCATGCTGGCCACATCCCTCTTGAAGTGGGGTGCCCAGAACTGGATGCAGGACTCCAGCTGTGGCCTGACCAGTGTCGCGTAGAGGGGGAGGATCACCTCCTTGGCCCTACTTGAGATGCACCTGTGGATGCACGATAGGGTCCGGTTAGCCCTGCCGACCGTGACCTCGCATTGTCGGCCCATGTTCATCTTGGAGTCAATGAGGACTCCAAGATCCCTTTCTGCCTCCGTGCTCTCAAGAAGGGAGTTTCCCATCTTATAAGTGTGCTGCTGGTTACTACTGCCCAAGTGCAGCACCCTGCACTTGTCCG